ATGTATGTATGTTTTCCTTATCTTGACTGACATTTTGAAAAGGATTTTCTCACACTCCTCTGTTTAGGTTTTATCTGAAGGGGTTTTGTGAGCAGGGTATTATTCATCTCACCAGAGGAGTGTGAGTGCCTGTGATTCTGCAGCTGAAGGACAAACTAGCTGGTTTTGACTACTCATAAGCTAAATCAACCAATCAGTGTGAGTTATTTCTATTCCCCATCTTGTGTGTCTTAGTGGGACAGGTCTTTCTCTTTTAACTCAAACGAAAGAGGAATTTCCCGAGGAGTCATGAAGGGCTCACCAAGAGCACTGGAGCGGTGTGGACTGAGGGGAGGAGCTTAAACCTGGAGCACAACGCCGCCTGTTGGTATGATGAAGAAATGACCTCAGACAGAGCAAACCAGAGCAGATATCAGAACCTTTATCTTGATGTTTAAAATGATGAATTCTGAATTAATCACATGAAACTGTATTTGTATTATCTTAATAACATGCGAGAACAAGCAATTACTCCTGGCACAAGATTATCCATCTCCATCTATAAACATGTAAAATTAAGAAGCACAAAGAGTCCCCCCCTACACACACACATCAAAATTCAGTCACAAACTGGGTTGCTTCTCAAATATCATTTTATTTTCTCTATCCATGTTAGAATTACTATATTAATATTGTAATTACATTTAAGTTCCTTCTGTATTGAAATATGCTGTACAAAATGAATCGAATCAAATCAGAGATGAGATTGGTCAGGGTGACAAGTTCAAAGGTCACCGGAAAAGCCTGCAACGGTGGCCTACCTATGTCTTTAATAGTTGTTACAGAAATACAGTTCAGAGATAATGGTAAACGTTTGTGAAAGGAAAAAAATGTAATGATAACATGGTCCAGTACAAAAAAAAAATCATTTACAAAGTGAAAACAAAAAAAAAAAGCACAACCCTGTTTATAAGAGTAATGAGTTGTGAAACAGTGGTTTTCATAACAACAGATCATCTCATGACACACGAGTTACTGATCCTGATCTGGATCTTCGTCAATCTGACAAACACTGAGCTGTCATTGTCTCCTCTCATTCTGCAAGTGATCAGACCTGAAGGTTTACAGTAGCACCAATTGGCTTGTTGGTTAATTGTCATAAAACAGTATTTGACACACAAACAAATTTAAGTGTTTGTCATTAGGCCAAAAACACAAGATAAAGTAGCCTTTTGTGTCATGCAGCAGCACACTGACATTTACTTTTTCAGTGCCCTAATGGAGTCGTCAGCTGGCGGACGCTTTGTTTTTCCTCACACAGAATTAAAGAGCAAATCAACGGACAACAATGGTTCCAGAAATACCATGCACACAGAAAGAAGGGAAGGAAAAGACGTTCTGTCCATGATCTTTCATTTTGAGCCGATGACTCTTATGAGAATCCTTTAATTTCACCTCTAGTGTAGTGTAGTAAAAGCTTCTCAATAACTTAAAATACAACACTGTCCTCTTTAAACAAGTTCCTGAACTGAAAATAAACCAACACAGCTACACTGACCACGTTCAGTCCTGATTGGCATTAGTGGTAGAAGTTCTTGATCATAGCACAGGCTGTTAGCTGCTGTCAGAGTGGTTAAATATTCTAATAATATAAAGACACAAGATCTGATTTAGGTACATAAGCGAGATCTACAATAACACCTACATACTTTATTTAACTTGATAGAAATAACACTGTCAACACTGGGCTTCTTAATAGCCACTATATCAAGGTCCATGATTTGATTTTGCTGAAAACGTGAGTTTATCGACTATCGTAATGATACTGATCTTACTGCGACAAAACATCAAGTTAACTCAGAAGTAGGAACGGTGGAAATGTTTCAAAACACAACGTGAGGAAATAACCAACTCTTTATTGGTCAATGATTTACAGCCTCTTAACTGACTGAGCTTTGCATCACTGTTGACGACATTGTATCATTCTGGGACTAAAGAAAGAGGCAGAGACTGAAGACGGCTAAAGGAGCTTTGGAGATATTTCTAAACTTGGTTTTCAGAATGTACGCGTCTTTGTGAGTCTCTGCAATATATTATACTTAAGATTTGGCAACACTGGCACAGCTAGGTAGTGTGTCAGTTTGACTGGTACAGTTCTTCAGTGACAGCTGATACGTGCAAATATCGTGAGTATTATAAAAAATATATAACAAACGGTAATAAAGAACCAACAAAAACAAACATGGCGACTGCACTGTTTAGGACCCGACCTCAGGGGTCAGACAGGTGGCGTGTTTATTCTGGTCCAGTCCAGCTTGAAGCAAGGCCATTACTCAGAACGTTAACAGCCTCAGAAGACGACCAGAAGTCCCCAGCAACAACTGTGGACCACGTCCTTCTCGAAAAGGCAGCAAGAATGTGAGACACACACACACACAACCCCCCCCACACACATACAATATTGCATATACACATGGTATGTTGTCTGTGCACATGTCTGCTTCCTCTTTCATTCACACATTGTCATGATGTGCAACTTTAAACATGATAAAAAAAAAAAAAAGAAGCAAGAACTAAATTATGTGTAGTTGTAAGTTCACAGCTGAGGCGTGTGGAATGGACGGTACCGACAGGTCCTCAGTCTGCGGGGGAGTTGTTTGATAAGAGAGGTCAGCCATCAAACAGTCAGAACTACAAAGACGATCAACACTTCTACCTGCGCCACTTCACGGGAAAAAAAAGTTCTTCTCCTTCTAACTCCTTGTCCATCATCCAACCTTTCCTAGAAACTACCGCTTTCTTCTCTTCTTTCCTCTCCTCCCTCATCCTCAGTTCCTCTACAAGTTGACGAGCTCGTGTGCGACAAACTGTTTGAGTCTCTCCAGGTACTGTCCGTAGAGCTCCACATCGTTGTGTCCGGCCCCCTCCACCCAGAGCGGCTCCACGGGGCGCTGACAGCGTTCATACAGCGCCAGGCCGTGGGAGAAGTCGATGACCTCGTCCTCTGTGCCGTGGATCACCAGCACCGGTGACGTTACCTTGGAAATCTTGTCGATGCTTTGAAGTGAGAATAGAAAGAAAGAGGGAGGGGGATTTTGAAATACAGACATGGAGACAAACAAAAAGACGAGACGTGATTTCAGTTCTTCTTCTGATAAACACTGTATGAAAGTAATAATAGATGTTGAACATTCACAGAGATCTAAAGCAGCTCTGGTTTGCTGACCGTCCACTAGAGGGAGCGATTGAAAATATTTTGAAGTGCTGTGACTCCTTTGAGTCAGTGTAAAGAGAACTCGGGGATTTGTTTGTTAACACATTACACATTGATAAAGAGATGTGAACTTTTAAGAATATAATTGTGGAGTTTGACCATTACACCGACCAGACATCATTGCTTGGAGCCATACTTACCGTAGCCCCTGCTGTGATACTATAATAGATTCTTTTTAAAAGTGGAGACAATTGGGATTTATGGTTAATCTAGTATTGTTGTTGAAAGTAAATCTCCTCTGTCTTAATCATCCCACTCCCGGGACAGTACAGTGCAGTTCATATCTTCCAATGAATGTCTGTCTTCTGTGCTTACAAATTTAAACTTGTATGTGAAGGAAAAGCTGGACTGAGGAATATGTCTCCTTCATAGTTAGTAATGTTACAATTACTGAAGCTGCATTGGTGGGTTGTTTTTATTAAGGCTGTGACTTTACATTGTATTTTCACTCCTAACCTGTTTGGTTGGTTAAAACAACCTCGGATCAGTTTGTCCAGTTAGTACAGTATATTTGGGCTTGTGTTAAAGCTGTCACATGAGACACTGTGTGGACCAAACAAACACACCAGGACTGCTTGAAAAGGGCATGGCTTGGTTTCAGCAGGTTCAGTGGGCATGACACCAGTATGACACCAATAGAAAATAATAATCTTATAGTTTGGTAATTTTAAAACATTAACTTTAACTGAGTTTTACCTGCTGAGTTGTTATTTGAAATGCATTCAGACCCTTCTGAGTTTAATAGCTCTGCGTTATGTCATTTTCAGTGGATGCACTCACTTTGGGAAGGCGTCAAAGCAGTAGGTTTTCTTGGTGTCGGGGAAGGCCACTCTCATGCCTGAAGTGAGTGGGGAGTGGAGGACAACTGCGGCACTTTCATAGCGAGATGCCAGGTCCACTGAGGGCACAGTGCCAATGCTCTGGCCGTACACGATGACGCTCTCTGGACGGATGCCATACCTGCGAGGAGGACAAAGAATATCAGAAAATCAGGCACGATGTTTACACAACCAGTAACCAAACATTTTCAGGTAAATTTAGTGTAGTTATTTTCTTTTTTTTTAAAAAGAGGCTTTTCAAAGGAAAAGAGAAACGTGTTTCTTGGAGTAAAGTCTGATTCATACCCATTAAGCAGGAAATATATCAATCTCTCTATCAGTCTTACATTTGCTCCACGTGATGCTCCATAAGCAAACATGCACCTGTGTGCAGTTACTCATACTTATTATCGGCTGATACGTCATGCAGTAGTGATTACTCAGTGATTATAGGGCCTCCTAAAACAAGCGCACACACACAGATCTGTGATACAGTCCAGGTTAAGTGGCTTTCTGCTGCTTTTCACAGCAAAGACAAGCTCCGCTGAGGTCTTGTGATACAGGAGGGCGGAGGGAGAATTAGAGGAAAACGAGCTGAGAGGGAGCAAAAAAAAAAAAAAGACTGATACTGGACTGAGGCTGAGGGAGAACCAAAAAACCAGAGAGAGAGGGGGGAGAAAAATGGAATAGTCTACATTCCACAACCGATTATGGAGAATGTGACGCAGTCTAGCAAGTGAGCAAGTCAGCTGACGACCTGAAGCCTGGTCTGAGCACACTGCATCACTGTCTGTGCCGCTGCGTAGTAAACAGCTACAACCAGTCTGACTAAGTCTCTGCTCAAATCTATTATTAAAAATAGGACACCAACATTACAGCCTCGACATTATAGCCTCTGCACGCCTATGACACACAGTGATGAGCAACGCATGAGCTCCAGAGTCTGACACCACACTACACCGCTGACATGGATTATTATAATTAGGAACTCACACAAACACACAAGTCCAACACAACCTTCTCAAGGATCAGGAAGAATCTGCAGAAATGCAGTGCGACTGATATAAAGGTCAGTATAGTTAACTTAAGTGCATGTACACACACACAGTCTCGATTAGCAGGAATATAGGATCTGTTTACCGTTGGTGTGTCAGCTGGCCTTAACCGAGTATAAACAAGGGTGATAATACTGCCACGCCATGAGAAAGTGACTGCAGGATGTTGGGTGCTACACTGTTGACAGCAACATTAAATCTCTAAGATGGCTGACTTATAATGTTCAAAATGTACGGCCCATCTTAATGGTGCAACATAGTCACAAGGAGATGAAGTAACATTCTTCAGTTTGTTCACATTAAAAAAACAACACAGCTCTTTTCTCAGATGGCCTGTTGGGAACCAAATCTGTCTCAAACAACTTCACTCATTTGCATGTCAATGGCAGTATGCTTTTCTAATGTAGACTCCACTTTTGTCTAGTCTGGCTTGTGCGAAAGGTTTTTCTCATGACCTTTAGAGCCTCAAGGGTTTCAGAGATTTAGCCAAAATCATTTTAAAACAGAAAGCGTAATCACTGAGAGTAGAATTTGGAAGATGTTTGCTGGAAGTGGAAGTCGAAATGAACACGCTTGGTACAAGTGGGCTGTTTGGTTACTTCACTTGCTCATCACTTATAAAGGGCAACATTCAATCATTAAAATTCTGAATGTGTAATAACACATCAAAAATCCGCCCTTGTTGCTGAGCAGTAAACATTGATACCTGCAACTTCAAAAGTCAAGGATTTGAGCTGTGTTGTCATCACAGCCCGTTGTTTGTTTACCGTTATCCTCCTGTTGTATCACTTAGACCTTTATCTGCTGTTACCCTTTATGACTACGTGTTGTTGTTAGCGTTTATCAGCTTTTTATGATTATCTGGTCAATGTTCTTCAACATATCAGACCACAAAAGGCTGGCCAATCTTAAGACGCAGACAAACGGATGTTACAACGCTATAAAGTTTACCTGATGTCAATAAAGAGAGGGTAAGCTGAAAACGATTTGACAGCTTAGTTATCAGGTAACACAAAACCTAACTTGGCATAGATGGATGGTCGGAGGGTCACAGGAGCATGTTTCAATGTTAAACACCATATTTGATAGCTCAAACTGCTAGTAGTAATATTTATCCACTTTTTGACTAACTTCTTCGCTGGATGACAGCAGTATGACACTATTCTGTTCATCAGCATTTGAGCTTTCCATTCTGAGCGTGATGTCAGAGGCCACCATGTGAATCGGGTCTATGGAAATGCATTTAGGAGGGTTTTACTTGAGGCCACAAATAACACAATGAAAAAAGGCTTGAACCTGTGATCTTCCACAAAAAGCTCCCTCTAACGCTATCCCACCACGCCAACTCTGTACTGTTAGAAGAATTCCTGTGGCTTTTTTCTCACACATTCAATAAAGGCTGTGCAAGGAGGACAATCACCGTTCTTATAAAGACACTATGACAGGCTCTGACTGACCCAGCTCCACACAAGACACACACACACCCCCACCGCCTGAAACGGCAATCACTGGTCTACAATTTGCTCCATTGCCTCTCAGCCTGAATAGATCTCAACTAGCCATAGCCAGCCATGCACCATGGTTACACCCTTCCCCCAGAGCTTCATCAATTTAAACTCCTGACACAAATCCAATCTTTTATGCATCACATCCTCCCTCGTCCCCCTGTTCCGTCTCCCGCTCCCTCTTGGCTGCCCACCTCTTGCTCCCTGAAGACAAAAATATTCTCATCCCTTAGCCCTCACTATGACTAATAGATATTTTAGGACATCCTGAACATATGTACAAGCATGCTTCACAGATCAGAGTACCATCTGTACCGGGGGATCTGGGGATCCTCCACTGAAGCGCTACAGTGCATCTTTTAATTCATTAAATATCTGCCTTTTCAGATACTAAAATACATAAACATTAAATCTCTATTTATGGCTCAATTTTCACAGAGATTTGAGATAAAACTGAAATAAATATTAGGATGTGAGGACAATAAGTCCAAGTATTCTAGTCAGGAGAGTAATGGGACTCCACCAATCTGATATAACAGGCACAGTGGCCTTTGTCAACAAACTTCGTCAGGCCAGTAGTCTCTGACATTTCAAATAAAGAGAAGGGAACAGCTGACTACAAGTGAGTGGCCTTCCTGTGTACATTCTTGCAAGAAAAAAATCGGCATTTTGACAAATGGTGTTTATGTTTGAATCAATCAGATCGACCAGGAAGTGACCAGTTTTTCCTGTTTGTATTCATTGGCCACAGAAGACCTCAGTCTGAAAGCTCATTGGGAAATTGGTTGCTAGGCTACAGCTCAATATTAGAGGAGCAGGATTGACTGCTGGCTCGCCTACATCTCAGAGGGAAATGAAGATGAAACAGTTCCTTTCTTTAGGGGAAAACACACACATGTGTAAACCCGCTGACTCATAGAACTGAATCACCTGACTCACTCCCTGCTCAGGTGAAGGGAGTGCCTCATCCTTGGCTTAACAAAAGAACACTGGAGCAGAGTGTGTGTGTTGGCATGAGCAGTTGTGTGGTAAGATTGTTAAGTGATGGGTGGCCGTGGTTGTTATGTCATATGACTGTAGTGCAGGGAAAGAAGAACATGAGTTGCGTCAACGCTCAGGAGAAGCTAAATTCGTTACCGGCTGAAACCAAAAGCAAGGAAAAAGATTGAGTGACACAAAAAGAGAAGCAGAGGAAGTCAGGATATGTTGTGTTCAAGGAGTCAAATAATCAGAGAAAGAAAAGACACAGATCAACAAGCAGAGTGAGAGCCGCCCTCCTCTTCAGGCTGTGCCTGGTCTGACATGAGGGACGTACGAGGGGTGTAGGCAGCCGACTAACGTGAGGCAGAGATACCTTTTGATGTGATAAACTATTTGATTCATGTTCAGCTGGGTCAAAGATACTCTTTCTATCACACAGGCAGTCAATTATGAGACAGACACAGACAGCTCGGTCCAAAAGGCAGAAAATCCATGATAATATACAATAATACACTTACAGGCTTCGTTCACACTGAGCTTTAAGGATTTTATACTAAAAATTATGTACATGTCAAAGTGGAGAAGTAGCCTATGCCAGGCCATGCATGATCTCTGGCCACATTTAAATTGTAGTAATTAACTGATAAGAGGCCCTGAGGTGTTGTGAAACATCCTCTCAAACTTTCATCAGTCTTTGCGCAAGACAAAACAAGTTGAAGCACCAGATCAATGTGAACCTGAAGTGCTTGTTGAGGTGATATGATGTGGAGGGTTTGAAGGCACACACAGTGTAACCAAACAAAACCACAGAGACAGTGAGACACTGACATTGAGGGGTTGTTGTTGGTGACTGAGGACATGCAGAATGGGTTTTGGGGACTAACATATGGTCTTATTGTAATATCACATATATCACAACGTCCTGCAGAGATGACATCACAAATATGATATTGTGGGTCTTTTCAGATACTTTGTTAAAATGGGCTGTAAACGAAGCAATGTCCTGCACCTTTTTCTGTGGCGTACAGTATCCAGAAGGAACACTCAACACACTTCACCCACTGTCCCAAAGAAACTGACTTTAGTAAGAAGAATAGACAAAAGCTTAATAACTTTGAGTCACATCTCATGAGCTGCTCCTGAACTCGGGCCCATATTACAGAGATCTAACGGTTTATAAGCGAATCTCTGCTCATAGACAGTGTAATTTCAACTTGGTGAATCCACAACCAAGCACAGCAGCCAAAAAACAGCAAGCGCTCAGACATGAAACTGTGGTCAACTCGTCTTGACTGTGAGAGCCAGAGGGAACTGAGTCCTGCTGTGCTGTGTGACTAAGCATGGGACCTACTTCTTGAATATGTAGTTATTTCCTTGTTCCTGCAAGCCTCTTATATGACTTTGAAGAGGTTTCTTTCCTGATTAACCAACAGCCACATGATACAGTGTCTGATTAACTGTTATTACCTTCTCAGACATTTTTTTTTAATAAAAAGCAGTTGATTTAGAGAAACAGCCTTTTACAGCTACTACATCCCTGCAGTCTTCTAGAGGACAGACGGGGACAAGGGGTCACACCATGCAAATTGTCATCAAGACTATATAACTCAGCTTACATAGTAAGCAAAGTTGACAGTTATGGTTTGAATGTCGGGAATTGTCTTTAACCACATTCTGCTCCTCACACAAATCAGGAAGCATAATTAGATAAAGCATCTGTTTTGCTCTTCTAATATTACATTTCAAAGTTATTTTTCTGTGCTGGTCATGAAAACAAGAAGAGTAAAATAGAAAAAAGACAACAGCTGTTCAAGTCATCTGGTGCACTTTATATTAAGAAAAAAACTTATTGTTTGTCAAACCCTTTTTGCTTTTACTTTGTCTTACATGCGACACTGTCTGCAAGAATTTGGTAAAACTTTGTGTAGTACTCCTGGGAAGGAAGCAGTACCAGTGTCAGAAAGATTTTGGTTATCCCGCATATACAGTCTGGCCAATTTCCTGCATGCAGAATCTTTATGATCAAGGGTTTCCTGTTTAACTTGCCTTCCTCATTTAAATGTCTTTATTTACAGAAGGCCACTCAGTGAAGGGGTTGGTGGTGACAAATGGAAGAGAAGTGCTGACAGAGATCCACAGCACAAGTCAGTAGCTAAGAAACAGTAACTTTAAGTTGCTGGTGGCTATACCAAGGTTATTCATCAGCACTTTGAACTCTCTGCAGAACCAACAACTTAATTTAGCACAAAAAGAACACACACACACACACACAC